GTAAAGATTTATGTTTTACACTTAGTAGTTATGACATAAATTTTCTTCTTATATAGGGAGTTAGGGAGACAGTTGAATTCATACTTCATACTTTTTCCAATTTTTTCCTTTTTTAACCATACTAAAAAAAATATGATGCTGAAAACAAAGACAGAATGAATGATTGAAAAATGAAAGTGATAATAATAGATGTAAAATAAAAGATATTGACTCAAAACTAATGAAATGATAGGCAGCATACATTTCCTTGTAGTCCATTGTTAATGCTTATGATAATTGTCTTGTAGGCCTAACTGCTTTAAGATTATATTGATGATGATTAAAGCTAAATAGTTTGTGTAATAGGGGTTGGTGATTCCTTGAAGATAGTGAGGGTTTTAACAAACTGCAAAGCTGAATTAGGTACATTAGGATTTTAGATATATAGTATTGGCTAGGGTTAGTAAATCCACATTTGCTTAATTTAGGTTTTCCTATGTAATTATTTCTCAAACATATATGAATATGATGAAGAAAAATTGTTATTCATTCATGCACCGCGAACTCCTTCACAGAAAGATATTTTGTCTACTAAATTGTATGATACCGTAAAGTTTCTCTTCCATATATTACAGATAAAGTTGACAAAAGCAGAGTAATCTAAAATGTATCAAAATCTTCTCACCAGGGAAGGCCCCATGTCCCAGATCAGCCTGCCAGATGGTCCCGATCTCAGATGGACGTGTTTTGATTTACGGCGGTTACAGCAAGCAGAAGTTGAAGAGGGACGTCGAGAAGGGTGTCACACACACAGACATGCACCTCCTGTGTCCTGATAGTAAGTGTTCAGTGGTGAATCCTTGTCACTTGTATGCAGTCAAGATTTTACTTAAGGTGTTGCCCAGACATTGTGGTTTCAGAAAATTATAATATTGAATGTTGTATTTAAAGGGCATTCGTATGGTACAGTTGCAGAAAGGAATTATGTACCCCCCTCAGGTAAACTAACCCACCAAGTCGTGGTGATCATAGTAGTGTCATTATTATTATTGTTATTATTATTATTATTATTAGTAGTAGTAGTAGTAGTAGTAGTAGTAGTAGTAGTAGTAGTAGTAGTAATAGTAGTGATGATGAATGGATTAGTAGAGAAGTTTCAAGGTAAAGTCCTCCACATTATCAGGCAGTGCTTAGTAGTTCGAAAAATATATACCTCAGATCTAAAAGTAAAGGAAAAAGAGCATAGTGTATGTATACATTACTCAATTGTTATGCCTAAAATACCAAATCTAGGCTTTGTCTTACAGTGACCTGTGCCTTGGCTGCTAGTTAAGATGTGTTTTTAAATGTATGTAATTTAGAGAGAGAGTGTGTGTCAGACCGTCAGTCAGTCACCATGACTGTACCTACCTTCCATTCATCTCATGCCTCAAAAACTATTTACTCATAAATATTCTGTTTACTACGAGCATGGTGCTGCCCCTTGGTGGGTTGCCCAACCTGAGGGGGAACAGAAACTCCAGTCAGGAAGTAAACCCACAAAATTTAGTATAGCAGGAATAGAAAATTGTGCATCACATTCTAAAGGCATTCATATGATATCCACAGAACACGACACGACTGGCTTAAAGTGGAAATGGCAATCGGTGAAGCAGGCTGGTGTCCGCCCCTCCCCCAGGTGTGGTTTCTCCCTGGCCCCAACAGGAAGTGACAAAGCCATCCTCTTTGGCGGCGTTTATGACGAGCTTGACGAGGATGAAGAGCTGGAGGGCGTCTTCTACAATGACATGTATCAGCTGGACCTAATGAAGCCTACCTGGCATGAAGGTTTGTCGCTAAAAATAATTGCTGTGATGTATGTCAGTGTTGTGGTACTTGTAAGAGATTTCTGTTTTTTTTTTTTTTCCAAATAGTTATTATTAGAAAGGATGTATATATTTGTACTTTCAAAAAGATGAAATTGACATCACTTTTAAATAAAGTTATTGCATATTCATTCTTGGAGTTGTTTATACTGAGGTCATACACTATGTACAATAGATGCTTTGGAATACTGACTATTATCTCTTTCTCACTGCGTCTTAGTGATTGTTACTGGGAAGAAAGAAACGGCTGAAAAGAAGAAGAGAAGAAGAAAGAAGAAAGATGGACAAGAAGAGGAAAGTGAAGATGAAGAAGAGGTAAGAGAAGAAAGCTGAAAATTACAATCATGAACTTGAAGTATTATTTATGTTTAAATTGCTTTGGTAACTGGATTTGCATATAAGCTATTTGACTTGTAATACATAATCAAGATATATATATAATATGATATAATTATATGGTATATGAAACTGAAAAATTGATTGGGGTGAATTAATTTTCTGTCATAGGAAATGGAGGAGAAATTGGAAAACATGACAGTGGACGACAAGAAAGAAGAGGTGGTTGTTAGTGATGATGGGGTGTTTACAGTAAGTGTGGTGCTGCTTTATATTTTTTAGTCTGATATTCAGGATAATTTTCTTTATATTATTGTAGGGTAAAGTTGTATTTCTTCTTTTATCACTTTTCTGTTTCCTTAATAACTTTATCATTATTATTATTTTTTTTTTTTTCATAGGCTTAGTATTACCTATTTTTACTAAGATTCCCCACTCCCCCCCCCCCCTAAAAAAGAAGGGGGGGATCTTTATTGTTTTGAAATATGGTTAAACAGATAACTTTAATACTCATGAAATGTGAAAAGTGCATGTGAGTATTCCTTTGCATTCTCCCATTGCACTGCATTACTGAAAAGTATCTTTAAGAATACAGAGATTAGCCCATTTTACTTTAATACATTTTCCACCCATTCTTTGTCAGGTAACAATGGGTCCCTCTAGCAGCAGTACAGACAAGAGAGACGAGGCAGCCGGGGGGGAGAACTCGGAGGTCTTCATGCCGCCGCCCAGAATCAATGCAGGGATGGTTGTTAAGAAAGGAATACTGTACCTCTATGGGGGTATCTATGAGGATGGGGACAAGCAGCTTACTCTGGGTGACTTTTATGCTCTAGGTGAGGAAATCTTTCGTGCTTTGGATCATGTTGCTGATGTTTTTTTTTTTTTTTTTCATTTTACTTTAATACATTTTCCACCCATTCTTTGTCAGGTAACAATGGGTCCCTCTAGCAGCAGTACAGACAAGAGAGACGAGGCAGCCGGGGGGGAGAACTCGGAGGTCTTCATGCCGCCGCCCAGAATCAATGCAGGGATGGTTGTCAAGAAAGGAATCCTGTACCTCTATGGGGGTATCTATGAGGATGGGGACAAGCAGCTTACTCTGGGTGACTTTTATGCTCTAGGTGAGGAAATCTTTCGTGCTTTGGATCATGTTGCTGATTTTTTTTTTTTTTCATAGGCTTAGTATTACCTATTTTTACTAAGATTCCCCCCCCCCCCCCCTAAAAAAGAAGGGGGGGATCTTTATTGTTTTGAAATATGGTTAAACAGATAACTTTAATACTCATGAAATGTGAAAAGTGCATGTGAGTATTCCTTTGCATTCTCCCATTGCACTGCATTGTTGAAAAGTATCTTTAAGAATTCAGAGATCAGCCCATTTTACTTAATTAATGCATTTTCCACCCATTCTTTGGCAGGTAACAATGGGTCCCTCTAGCAGCAGTACAGACAAGAGAGACGAGGCAGCCGGGGGGGAGAACTCGGAGGTCTTCATGCCGCCGCCCAGAATCAATGCAGGGATGGTTGTCAAGAAAGGAATCCTGTACCTCTATGGGGGTATCTATGAGGATGGGGACAAGCAGCTTACTCTGGGTGACTTTTATGCTCTAGGTAAGGAAATTTATAGTTTTCGTGCTTTGGATCATGTTGCTGATTTTTTTTTTTTTTTTTTTCATAGGCTTAGTATTACCTATTTTTACTAAGATTCCCCCCCCCCCCCCCTAAAAAAGAAGGGGGGGATCTTTATTGTTTTGAAATATGGTTAAACAGATAACTTTAATACTCATGAAATGTGAAAAGTGCATGTGAGTATTCCTTTGCATTCTCCCATTGCACTGCATTACTGAAAAGTATCTTTAAGAATACAGAGATTAGCCCATTTTACTTTAATACATTTTCCACCCATTCTTTGTCAGGTAACAATGGGTCCCTCTAGCAGCAGTACAGACAAGAGAGACGAGGCAGCCGGGGGGGAGAACTCGGAGGTCTTCATGCCGCCGCCCAGAATCAATGCAGGGATGGTTGTTAAGAAAGGAATACTGTACCTCTATGGGGGTATCTATGAGGATGGGGACAAGCAGCTTACTCTGGGTGACTTTTATGCTCTAGGTGAGGAAATCTTTCGTGCTTTGGATCATGTTGCTGATGTTTTTTTTTTTTTCTTTCTTTCTTTCTTTTTGTATTTTATTTGATCTCTTTATGTTGATATCATTAACATGACTAATAACAATATAAAACAAAAAGAGAATATTTGTAAGATTCAAAGAAAAGGGTAAACAAGTGAGATAGGTAGTACTAGTACTTGACTCATTTGTAAGGGCTTTTGTGTGGCTTGTAGAGACCATTAACAAATTAAACTCCCTGTCAGCATGCTATGTCCCGTAGACTAAAATTACAGTAAAACCTTTCATTTCAGACTTGAGCAAACTGGAAGACTGGCAGACTATCATTCCCCTGAACAAGGAGGATCTGGAATGGTTTGAATCGGATTCTGAAGATGATGATGATGATGACGAAGAGGGTATGGATGACGATAGTGAGGAAGATGATGATGACGATGATGATGATGGTGGAATGGACACTGACTAAGCTCTGTATATGTCTGCAATGCAAAAGAGAGAGTTATTGCAATGAATGGGATTCATGTAGCTTTCAGAAAATGTATGTTATTGCCCCTAAAGCATGTATGGTGAAAATGACTGAATATGGATCCATGTTTCAAAGTTTGCTTATATATTTGTTTGACAGGTTTATGACCAATGACATTTTCAGTTTGTTATGTATGTGATAATATATATTAATAAATTGTGACACTGA